ATGGCTAATAAAACAGAATTGAGAATATAAAAAATTATTTAAATAAATAAAAATAAAAAATATAATTCTACATATGATGTATAATAACAATAACAACAATAAATAATAATAATAATTTTGTGGCAGCAGTCTTAGAGAATAAAAAAAAAATTTCTTTTTTTTTGTATGTATTATTATTATCATTATTATTAAAATGTTAATAATTATTAACTTATTTAATGAATATATATATATATATTTATTTATTTTAAATAAAATATTATTAATTATAAAAAAAAAATGCATAAAAATTAAGTAATTCTGGGTATTTTCCTTTTTTTTTCTTTTTCCTTGTTTTTACTCTTATGTAAATAAATATATTATTATTATTATTATTAATAAAAAAATTAATAAATTTTTATTTATTTTTATCTGTTGTTTTTTAAATATGAGTTTTCATTCATTCATTTATTTTTTTTTTATATTTAATATTATAAAAAAAATTTAAATTTTTTATAAATTATATTATTATTATTAATATATAAATATAAATAGAATAAGAGATCATAATAATATATATGTAAGAATTAATAAAAAAAAAAAGAATAATTTCTTCTTGAAATAATAATAATAATAATAATAATAATAATAATAATTAAAAACATTATAAAATAAATCATCATTATTATTTTTTAATCAACATTAATCAGTCAAACGTTTTGACAATTATTATTAATAAGTATTTTTAATTATTATTTATAATATAAAATCAATAAGTACAACCTGAATTTATTAATTAATAAATAAAGTTAATGAAAACTCATATTTTCTGTGTTTAAAGGTTTGTAAAGGAAATGACGTCACAACCTTTATTGTTTACTCCACACAATCAATATATATGTGAAGAAGAAAAATAATACCTTAATGTACCTTATTTTAAAAAAATAACATGTTCAATTTTTAATTATTTAAATTTTAACATAATAATAATAATAATAATAATAATTTTTGTTTTAATTATCACACGCATTTGAATGCAGTTTTTTTTTTTTAAGGCACCTTTTTTTTTTTAATTATTTTTTATGTATCAAATTTTTTAAATTATCTGTCATGACTTGTTTTTTTTTTTTTTTAAATTATTATTATTATTATTATTAAAATCAATTTTATTTCGTCGTATTATTATTATTATTATTATTAATATCATGCCTTTCGTGAAATTATAATTTTATTAAAATAATGAACATTCTCAATATGAAATACATAATAAAATGCGAGATTTTTTTTCTTTTTTTTTTTTTTTGAGCAATCGTGGGTGTATAAGTGCAATAAAAAATGTTACGTAATAAATATAATAATAATAATAATAATAATAATAATAATAATACTACT